CTCTGAATAACATAACCTTTCTACAAGATTAATACCTGACAATGTGAGGGTATGTAAAACATATAATTATATTAAGGGAACTAAAAGGTCACATTACAGACATTCTGCTACATTTCTGCAGTTTATAATTTAATACCTACTTTTTAGTTTTAGAAACAGACATTTCGAATAATTACTTCTTTATCCTTTACATTACTTGGTTTCATCACATTTAAAACACTTTCTAAGGAAGGCTTTCTTTTATGATTTGGCATCTTTGAAAATTTCCTCTGTCTGATAATTGGCAATAGAGTGCAACTGATATTGTCTCTTAAACATCAAAAACAAAATTATTATTGGATATATCCAAACCAACCAACAAATTGCCCGTGGGCTTAAATTGGTTTCTGTATCATTTAGAGACTTGGGTGAGGAAAATTTTTTAAAAATTCAGTTAAACTTATATTCCAATTTATATAGAGATTCATGCTTTTATGTTTCAAAAGTATTACCTAGTCACTAGTTAACTAAAATAACATTGACAATAAAATTAAATAAGAATTCAAATAGGTATATTCACTAATTAATATTTCAAAAAAACTCTGGTTTATAATTGTCCAGGTTTTCTTTTTATACCCATATAATAGGTTGAATAGCATGCTGGTTAAGAGCTATTTATGGATTTCAATTCCAGATCTGCCATCTAGAAACCGTGTGGCTTATTTAACCTCTCAGTTACAGAAAATTACTTAACCTCTGAGCCTCTGTTTCTTTATATGCAAAATGGTGATTTAATAGTACGTGTATGTGTTTGTACAATGGGTTGTTGTGAGAATTAAATGAGATTTGCATATAAAGTCCATTGTCCAATTACCTGAATCACAGGAAGTGCTAAATAAATGGCTTTTAATTAGCGATAACCATATTGTACACTTTCATCTTCAAAAACAGTCATATCACCACATATCATTAGCTGTTGGAAATCACACTCCAAAGTTCTACTAAGCAAGACAACATATCTTCTTCAGCCACATGTGTCAATCATAAAGGTCCATTAGGCCAACAGCATCTCTGACCCCGGAGCAAATAATTAGAAAGCATTAAGAACATGTACGGAACTAAAAAGTCAGAAACACTACACATATATCAGGAGTTTTTGTACTTTAACAAATTGTTTTACAGATTATTCTTCTGATCCTGGATCCAGAAACATACCTCCCCAGCATATACCCCTGTATGGAGTACTGCAATGCCACATTTTCTTATGGTGGTGAAGTGCCATATGTCCCTTGACTCAGATGCAAATGGGAAGTTTGCTCTTGACTGGAGGGACATCCAGGTGTCCAGCCCAGGGAAGATCCCAACAGAGTCCCAGATCTCATTCTGCCCAAGAAAGAACACAGGCCCCCAACACTCAGAATTCTGGGGATTGTCATCCAATTGGCTCGTGGTTGAGTGTCAGTTCAAGAAACATCGTCATCCTCTATTTATTGATATCTTAAAAGAAACAAACAAACAAACAAACTACCTCGACTTACCCGGAAATAGTCGCTGCATGCTGCTAGGACTGCCTTGTGAGCATGGAATTTCTGTTCCTCAGCAATCAGAGTGACATCACAGAGGATGCCGTCACTTCTCTGCTGGTTCAGGGCTGCCAGGACGCTATCATTGTGAGATTCGGAGTGGCAGAGCCTCTGGCCTGTCAGCATTTCTTGAATACTACAAAGGAGAGTAACCAAGTCAATGTCCCTCCTTTTTCCAGTCCTCCTGCCCCAAGCTCTCTCGCTCCTTCAATCC